AACTCCTGTTCAACTTCTGATAACTCTAGTTTAACTCCTGTTAACTCTCATTTAACTCCTGCCAACTCTAGTTCAACTCCCATTAACTCGTTTAAACTCTCGTTCAACTTCGGTTAACTCTAGATTATCTCCCGTTAACTCTTGTTAACTCATAACTCTAGTTTAACTCTGGTTAACTCACATTTAACTCCTGCTAACTCTAGTTCAACTCCCATTAACTCGTTTAACACCAGCTAACTCTCGTTCAACTTCGGTTAACTCTAGATTATCTCCCGTTAACTCTTGTTTAACTCATAATAACTCTTGTTTATCTCCTGTTAACTCCTATGCTTAAGTTCGTCTGGCGGTTCAGGCGGTTGAGTCTTTGATCAGGTCTGAAACATCAAATGATGGCGTTCTGATGACATCTGAGGAAACTTCTTAAAGGTTAGTGTAACGGGCTCACTTCCTGCTTTGATCATCAGTTATTGATCAGAGGTGAAGCACTCCGATATCAGACACCAGTAGTAGTTGTGGCAGACGCACGCCACTCAGTTGACTATGATGAGAGGCACAAAGGGTTAATGAAGCTCCACTTCCTGTCGGGCCTAAAGTAACAGGTTGTAAACATTTTAACGCCCGAGTTTGTTCAGAAACAAAGAACTTCTCCCAGATCTCATCCAGACTTGGAGCAGGTGAGACAGAAACAGACGGTGATGTCATGCGTTCACCGTCCAATCAGCAGCCAGAGCTCGTTATCAGCAGTTAGTGTTTGATTGTTGGCGGCGGCAGACTTACGGTAGCTACTCTCGCTATCGCTGGCGTTAGACGTCACGTGTTCTGGAATCAAACACAGGACAACGGGTCAGCCGCCGGCCTTCCCATGATGCTTTGCTCCGAGCCACAAATAATTAATTAAAGCTCAGGACTTTGTGTTTAAACACTTCACTGATTTATTCTGTGACATTTAAATAACTTAACTCCCTTTTGTACAAAAATCTACTTTTCAAGCAAAACGAAAAATCAAAAACTGACGTGAAATCCCACATTTAGACCCAAACAGTCTGAAAAACGACAGAGTCTAAATGAATGAATAAAACTAATCCACAGTCTGTTTCCATCCAGAGCTGCAACATCTGGACTCTTTGCTCATGTCGGCTCAGTTAAACGCAGCAGATGAGTTTATTTCTGGTCCGAGCAGAACCTCGGTTCTGATGATCTGCAGCAACAGCAATCCTCCAAACTTCATTTAATAAACAACATTAGGAACTTGTTTTCTGTTGATCGGATGCTCAGCAGAACCTTAAAACCCGATGAGACCAACAGAAAATGATGAACGAGTCCCGTTTGGTTCTGAAGGGTCCATGAGGGTCTGAGGTGAGGAAGAGGAGGAGGAAGATCCAGCTGCAGGTTGGGATTTAGTTTAATTATTTCATATGAAACGGAGTTCAGTTTTAATCTGATGAATATTTTCAGTAGAAAATCATTTTCATTTATTTCAATTCATGGAAAAATTTTGAAAAAATTAATTTTGGGGAAAAATGTAAATTATGACGTATTAAAATATTTTTTTTATTACAGATTTTAAAAATCATGATCAAAATAATAAATGAGTAATTAAAATAAATAAAGAAAAAGCAAATATAAAAGAATAAGGATGGTTAAAAAAATAACGTAGAGGAAAAATACTTTGGATTTATATTTTCCTTTTGTCCCTTCAGGGCTTCTGTAGTAATTCAGTTCAGTTCAGTTTATTTCTAAAGTGTCAAATCACAACAGAATCATCTCCAGGCACCGAACAGAAACAATAAATCTAGAGCTTCTAAGTTACAGGAAACAATACTTATTCAATTATCAATCAATCACTTATTATACATTAATTATTGATTATATTATTAATTATTATAATCATTTTATATGTATTCAGGTGATTCAATTACCGTAATTTCTGGACTAGAGAGCGCACCTGACTATAAGATGCGCACACTACAGCTGTTGGTCATAAAATTAAAATATGAAAAAGTTGATTTATTTCAGTAATTCCATTCAAAAAGTGAAACTTGTATATTATATTCATTCATTACACACAGACTGATTTATTTCAAATGTTTATTTTAATATTGAAGACACCTGGTGTCACAGTCTAATCAGCTGATTAACTCAAAACACCTGCAAAGGCCTTTAAATGGTCTCAGTCCAGTTCTGTAGCTACACAATCATGGAGAAGACTGCTGACTGGACAGTTGTCCAAAAGACGACCATTGACACCTTGCACAAGGAGGACAAGACACATGAGGTCATTGCTAAAGAGGCTGGCTGTTCATAGAGCTCTGTGTCCAAGCACATTAATAGAGAGGAGAAGGGAAGGAAATGATGTGGTAGAAAAAGTGTACAAGCAACAGGGGTAACTGCACCCTGGAGAGGATGTTGAGACAAAACCCATTTCAAAATGTGGGGGAGATTCACAAAGAGTGGACTGCAGCTGGAGTCAATGCTTCAAGAACCACCACGCACAGACGTATGCAAGACATGGGTTTCAGCTGTCGCATTCCTTGAACAAGAGACAGCGTCAGAAGTGTCTCACCTGGGACTGCTGCTGAGTGGTCCAAAGTTATGTTCTCTGATGAAAGAACATTTTGCATTTCCTTTGTAAATCAAGGTCCCAGAGTCTGGAGGAAGAGAGGAGAGGCACAGAATCCATGCTGCTTGAGGTCCAGTGTCAAGTTTCCACAGCCAGTGATGGTTTGGGGCCATGTCATCTGCTGGTGTTGGTCCACTGTGTTTTCTGAGGTCAAAGGTCAACGTAGTCGTCTACCAGGAAGTGTTAGAGACTTCCTGCTGCTGAACAACTTTATGGAGATGCAGATTTCATTTTCTAACAGGACTTGGCCCCTGCACACAGTGCCAGAGCTACCAGTACCAGGTTTAAGGACCATGGTATCCCTGTTCTTAACTGGTCAGCAAACTGGCCTGACCTTAACCCCATAGAACATCTATGGAGTATTGTGAAGAGGAAGATGTGATGCACCAGAGCCAACAATTCAGAAGAGCTGAAGGCCACGATCAGAGCAACCTGGACTCTCAGAACCTGAGCAGAGACACAGACTGATCCACTCCATGACACGATGCATTGATGCAGTGATCCAGACAAAAGGAGCAACAACTAAGTATCAGACTTTTCATGTTCATACTTTTCAGCTGGCCAACATTTATAAAAATACTTTTTTTTGTCTTAAATAATATTCTAATTTTCTGAGATACTGAATTTGTGGTTTTCATTAGTTGTCAGTTATAATCATCAACATTAAAAGAAATAAACAGTTGAAATAAATCAGTCTGTGAGGAATGAATGAATATAATGTACAAGTTTCACTTTTTGAATGGAATTACTGAAATAAATAATTTTTCATGATGTTCTAATTTTATGACCAGAACCTGTAAATGTTCCCTCCCCCCCAAAAAAATTTCCATAAATTAACTGCAGCGTTTTTTGAAGCTGAGAGGTTGAAATGCTGTTAAAAGAGGAGCGGCTTATAGTCCGGACATTATGGTAAACTGAAGGAGTTTCACAAGAACGTGGAGCCTGGAGGAGTCAGACTGACTCATGGGGGTCTGAGGGAGGTCTGGGGGTCTGTGGGAGGTCTGAGGGGGTCTGAGGGAGTTCTGGGGGGGTCTGTGGGAGTTCTGGGGGTCTGTGGGTGGTGTTGGTTACTCACTGTGGGTTTTGGGCATCAGGTCATCATTGCCGTTTTCCTGCCGTCATCAGAAGCACAAAAACAACCACAGAAACACAAAGTTATGAGTTCAGCGACAGACGGAGAGAGCAGACGGTCGCCACGGCGCCGGGGCGGCCATTTTGTCTTCAAACAGGAAGAGGAAGGAGGGACTTCCTGCTTCTCCAAGACTCCCATTTTTTAAATATTCTGATTAAATCTGAAGGCAGATGAGCGCGGCGCGGCGCGGCCCCGGGACGACCGCCGAGCATCAGTGCCGCCACCAGCTGATCTCTCCCTGCCACCGAGAAGTTGGGCCGCGGCGCCGGTACTTACGGTCCAGGTCGCTGGTCTCCTGCTCGCTCGGCTCTTTGCTCTTGTAGAACGGAAACTTTCGGGTAAAGAGGTTCTTTTTACGCTTGTCATTGACGGACTGCTGAGGAGGAGGAGGAGGAGATGAAGGGGTTCTGGTGCTGGTTCGGACAGAATCAAGAACTTTCTGGTTCTGAACAAAAAATCTAATTATTTTACTTTAGCTTGGTCTGAAAACACAAAATTAAAGAATGAAATCAGTCACCTGAAAAAAAACTAATGAAAAGTTCAAGCTGACTAAAGCTGGCCTCTGGTTTGATCAGAACCACTGGGCCCGGTTTGACCTGCTCCTGCAGGGAGCCGTGGTTCTGTCAGAGCTGCGTTTTCTACAGGGACAGTGAAGGCAGCACAGCAGGGTGAGGAAGAGGAGGAGAACCATGCTGAAGACATGCAGACAGACGGGCAGAGATTCTGTGGGTCCTGGTTCTGGAGTCCTGATCAACAAAGTTCTGATCCACTGATCCAGATCCATCCAACACAAAGTCTGGCTGAGAATTAACGCGTTACATCAAAGAACCGTTTGGACTTTTGAACCACCGGGAACGGATCTTGAAATTTACAATCAGAACTTGTTGTTGTTTGTTTGTTTGTTACAACAAAGGGAGGCGTGTGTTGTTTGTTTGTTACAACAAAGGGAGGCGTGGCTGTGAGACGAGGGGCTCTAGGCTTCTGACATCTACCGGCACGTTGTTCCTGTACGCTAAGCCCCTCCCACCAAACGTTCACCGAGTACAGAGGAACAGCGTGACGCAGCGGCTCAGTCCAGTTCACGTCTTTCAGCCGTGCGGTCAAGCAGCTGCACCAGGCAGGAGATCCAAGTGGATCGTCAGCTGCACACATCCGCTGATGCAATCAAAGCCCGGCCCGGCCCGGCCCGGCCAGCACATTATTTTGGCCCAGCCCAAATTGCAGGCCGGGCCGGACCGGGTTAGAAACGACAGCTCTATTTCAGAATAAATGCGACTTGTGCTGCGAAGTGACTAGAGCTTTAACAAACTACTGAGTACTCGACAGGTCGATTCCTGGGACATCTATCGAGTTTTTTAATTTCACGTCGAGTATTCGCAGTGACGTTGTCGTGTCACGTGATCCGCACCGTGCTGCTAGTAGAAGGTACCAAATGGATTCCTCCCAGCAGACGGACAGAGCGGAGCAGGTCCAGTCTTGACAAACAGGTAGAAATGCATCAATAGTCTGGAAATATTTCACTAAAGATTAATCTTCTGGTTCAACTACCGCAAGGAAACAGGAGATGAATCAACTTCCTGACTGGTTGGAGCTGTTGTGAACCGGTGTTGCACCATATTCTGTGACCACCGTATATTGTGACCGCAGAGGGCGGTGTTGCATGCACTGTTGCAGGTCACAGAATATGGTGCAACACCGGGTCCAATGACTGAACCAGAACCAGCTTCCTCTCGTTTCACAAACTAAAAGCAAAAAACATTAATCTCTAAACCTATAAAAAACCTATAAACATATTAATCTCTAACCTACTGCTCATCACAGCTAGTGGTGGTGCGGGGTGGTCGACCCCCCCACTGGTTTTAGTTTCGTTTTTGACGTGCTGCACGTTTCTTTCACTTTTGCAGCTTAATAATAAAAAATAGTTTAGTTTTTCTGTGATTTATTTGCAGTTTGATAAATTTTTTTGTAAATAATAAATTACGCTTTTTTGCAGTTTTATTTTTTCATTTATTTATTTATTTTTATATCTTTAGATCCTATGACGTCATGAACTACTCGAGTTTTATTATGTTAATGTCGAGTTTAAAAATTATGTAGTCGTTCAACCCCTACAAGTGACTAACACACGGTTTTTCCTCTTCATGATGCGTTTTTTGACTGATGCGACTTATAGACTTAGAGTTATAGTCTTATAGACTTATAGTCTTATAGACGTATAGTCTTATAGACTTATAGTCTTATAGACGTATAGTCTTATAGACTTA